CAGTGGCCATCTTGACCCTTTAATAAAATGGTTATAAACATACAATTTACATTATATTGAAATTCATGGAGGCCATTGCTTAGATGCATTACCTGAATACCTCAATGACGTTAAAAATAGTCAAATATTTTCTTCATAATTTCGATCAGTCTACAAATTCTGGCCTTGAATTGAGTACCCTCAGGGGACTGCAGGGGAAACAACACGTTTTGTTTTAAAAATTTGATGAATTAATGTGATTGTATATTCAAACAACATAAGTGTGTGTGACAATAAATAAAAAAAAATTGTTACTATGTAACTGATACTAACAACCAAAGAATTTGAAATTGGAAATCAATCTCTGTCAACAGTACTGCCAACAACAATCTCTACCGCTTCTGTTGTTGTGCTCATTCACATCTCTGTACTTTATACGTAAAGTTTTGATCTTCTGTTGACATGTAATGACGTCCTGTCCAACCCCTTTTCAGCCGCTTTCTCTGCAATCACAGCATATACTCTAGCATCTCTAGACGTTCCGTCCATCATTCTTTGAATATTCGATCCTTTCCATACAGATATCAGTAATCTCATTTCTTCGTCTGACCAGTTAGACATTCTGATCTGTAACCTCTGACGCCATCTTGTGCAATGAAAAGCATAAATAAGTTGGTGATAGGGGGTGTTTGGCCTTGTATTGTGTTCACAGTGCACATTGCGTTGTGCAAGAGCCGGTGTGGCAACAATGTTCAGGATCTGGTGCACCCTTTTTACGACGGTGTCAAAAACGCTGATGCCACAACGGCGTATTCTGTTCACACATATATTTTAACAACATTCTGAAATGAAAGGCATTCTGACAATGGCTTATTTCGTCCAGTGAGAACACCACTAATCTTCATTGTTTAAATTGTGTATGTATTTATTTTTGTTTGTCTTTGTTCCTGTGAGTGGATACTTCTCATCTCATAACAATGCTGGCTTATAGAAGTGTTGATGTATTTATGCTGTTATTCCTTGTAAGTTTTGAAATGGTGGCCATGCTGTCTGTAATGTAGGCCACACCCAACAATCCTGAATTTTTTTTGAGTCTACAGCTCCATTGTGTAGCAACGTCCTTCTGGTTCATAGATAGACAATAGTTGTTGCAGCCTTTTGTTGTGTACGTCGTTCATTAAAAAAAGTTGAGTCAGCTGAGAAACACATTGTGGTATGTTCTTACAATGCACAAAGTGAAGAAATCAGACAATGACATATATCTGTGTATAAAATATAAGACTCTACAGCCAAGTTATGTTTGCAGCATCATGATTAGTTCATAACAGTCTACAGTTCAGGCAATTGCTAAGCAATTATAGTCATAACACTAATCTCAGATTATAATTACTTGCTAAATTACAATTGATCAATAATATATATCCCACAGTTCATTCCCAAAGGTCCTAGAGTGGCCATTTGAAGGCTCTGTATAACTTGTACCTAAACCACTGTATACTATATGTACATGTATGATGTTCAGTCAAACAGCTTTGGGACTTTGGCCAGTGTTCTCCCCAAAGCGTTTTAGCTTAGCAGGGTCGCTACTCTATTATTTATGCCGCTACTCTGAAAGATTGCCCGCTACTCCGAGAGATTGCCCGCTACTCTGTGGCATTTCCTGTTACTCTTTGTTTTAGCTTGTAAATACACGTGGGAATCTGTTAGTCAGCGTCATCAGCGTCCCTACTAGTGAGTCAAATCAGACGTGAATGGAAACATGTCAGTGATTATACGCATAGACAATAGACTAATACAGCTTCGTACTTTGACAATATCTGCCCTATTTAATGGGGGTAATCGTGAGCATTTTCTCAGTAGCATATTCGGCTTGAAGTAGCAACGATGTCAAGCAGCAGAAATATTACGTTGTGTTTCCACGTAGAACGCCCTGTTGGGCCACTGGTTCCAAGCGATAAACCCACAAGCAACTCGGTCACCGGTACCCCTGTCGGCCGTGGTACTAAACATGGTGCAAAGAAAAGAAAGTCTGGATTTGATGCACAATGGACAACAGGAAATACGTGGCTGAGAGAATCATCCGATATCAATGGTAAAAAAAGTATTTATTTGTAGCGTTTTACTTGGAAGCGTATTTTGACCTAGTTCATTTTTTGTCGTTCGTCCAAACATTTTTTTCAGAAACTCCTTTCTTTCCGGAAGTTCAAAAATTGTTGGCTACGATTTATCAAAATAACTTATACCAGTGTTGTGTTTTGAAACAGTTGGGTAAATTTTATCGTGGCAATTTTTTAGATTTTAATAAAGTTTAGTGACTTTTCAAAATGGCGGCAATTTGTTTATTTTCGTGTTGATCGTGACGATATTTTTTAAATACAAGTATTGATTCGCCCCTATTTCTTATCTTTTAGGAATGCTGTGTCACATATGTGGAAAATTCAACTTAAAATCATCCAGAAATAATTCTTTGTTATGAAATTCTATGCCATGTATAAATATTACGAAATATGCTATCGATAAATACGCACACTCGGAGATGCACAAGAAGGCCATGTCATTAGAAATGGGAAGCAAAGAAAATCATGGTGTTCTCAAAAGCTGCAGACCACTGGGCTTCCATGAAAGTCCGAAGAATCAACATTACATAATAAGCACATAGCAGCAGATTTATTTAATCTTCTACATAAATTAAAAAAAAAATAAAGACACAATTTCATCCATGGAAGCCTTTCCTTATTGTTTTCTTTATCTCCAGACATATGCTAATGAGTATGTAAATGATATGCAAATTAGCCACCACTCTGAAACGTTTTTCTGGGGAGGACACTGACTTTGGCCTTTATGAATAAGGGTCACCCTAAATACATGATCACCATTTATTCATAGATATTCATTAGAATCAATGGCATACAAGTTAATTTACAGATACGGTCTTACATTTGTACTATATGTTGGTGGCCATCTTAAATCCTAAATTTTTACAGCCATACAATTCCATGTCACTACCTACAAAATGTAGATTACAGTGCAATAATTTTTCCAGCATTCCTTGATGCACTGCCATTTTGGGCGGGAAGTCTTTCAATATTATGTTGACTTGGATGTTTAAGCTGTCGGAAAATTGAGCTTGATTACAATTTAGGATTCTGACTGAGATTTAGCCAGCCAATGAGATTGTTTTAATTTCAACCAATCAGCTCCTTTATCTTTTCACCAATCATGTACAAGGCCATATTCATTGTAACCATTCATGAACAAAGCCAATATTTACTTTGATAATATAAATAGGAGATGAAATGTCTCTTCTTCTGTTCGTTTTTTGTTCGTCTTGTTCGTTCATGGTTTATTCATAGTTCGCTCAATAAAGTCATCTATTGCAGTCCATACGCAGTTTATTCTGCCATTCCTGAACTTGAACCTACTCTTCTTAACAATTCCCACATAAGCTGACTATCTGGTGATTTTCCTGTTTTTGACTCCTCGTGTGTGAAGCACACAATGGGAGTCTTTGCAGTCACATGTAGTATGTCTGTATGTGTGTGTGCCCATCTATTCCACCGATATCTCAAGAACCATATTTTTTTTATAAAACATGATGCATAGATGCTCTAGGCTGGGTTTTCGTTAAAATTGACGCATATTAATTATCTAATTTTTAGCTGTTCCATGACTGTTCCATTGATATCTAAAGAACCACTCATTTTGATGAAATTTGGTACATAGATGCTGTGTACTAATGCAAAGATTAGATTAGTTTTAGGTAAAAATCTATACATATTAATTACCTAATTTGCATGACAATTGGTCATTTCTTGGCTTTCTACTTATACGCACTGTATCTCAAGTACTAATCATCACATTTTAATGAAACTTGGTATATAGATGTCATAGGACAATGCACAAACCTGATTGGTTTTAGGTTAATAATATTTGCATATTAATTACATGTACCTAATTTGCATAATTAATAGATTTTTAGCTTTTCCATCAATATCTTACTTACATGTATCATCTTATTTCAATGAATGTTATTACATATGTATATTCTAAGACAATACGATGATCTAATTAGTTTTGGGTTAACATCCATAGTAATTACCTAATTTGTATAAGAATTTACTTTTTAGCTTTCCAACAATTTTTATAGGATTAATCATCACATTATAATGATACTTGGTACATGTGTGCCCTGGAACATTACACAGACCTAAATTTATGCATAATAATTGATTAATTTGCTCAATAATTTTTTTTTTAATTTTTTTTGAAAAACATGCATATTCATTATCTTATTATTATTTGCCCATTTCTGATATTTAAAAAAATCAAATTTAAATTGAAAGTGCTCTGAAAACCACAGATGTAAAATCAAATGTATTTTCTGTAAGTATTATAAATTTTGATAATGTAGTTCACATATTTCAGATAGTTTTCATATTGTGCATCTCAGATAGCAGACTAATATTATTTGCCAAGCTTCTTGTTTGAAAGGCTAATCTTAAATTTTGAATTAATTTTAATGTGTCTCCAATACTCTCAGCATATTGGAGTTCTTTCTAAGATTTCTTTGATTGTAACTTGGGCATTGAAACAACTTTTGTCAATAATTGTACATATGCTATAAACAGTTTTATTTTGCTGCAAGAAATTTCTGTAATTTTATGATTAAATGGCATTCTTGAAGAAGTTATCACGAAAGTTGCTGTGTGTCAATAGAACCCCAGTGAACTTTTCACTGCTGTAGGTTTCATGATGTTTACTACATTGTATCTCATTGAGATTATCTTTTGTAGCAGTTGAAGTAAAACTAATAGAGTTAGAAGTTATAATTTGAATTTCAGCAGTGCTGTAATTGTGATCATCAGGTTAGACTGCCCAGATTCCTGGATGTTCAGGAACATTAACCTCTCCCAATAGTCGGGAACCATCTGCACTCAGTCAGTCAGAAGCCCAATAGCACCACACAGTTTAGTATATATTGGAATTGTAACTGTTCGTAATGTTGTTTTGTTCATTTGTAGAAAATCTAAATGCATTGATTCAAAGCAGCCTTCCAGATCGTCTTCCAGAAGAAGCAGCACTAACAGTAGTGTTGGTAGCAGTAGTATTAATGGTAGCAATGCAAATAGTCAGAAAAGTGAAACTAATAAATCTGCAGATGCTTCAAAGCCATGTAATGCACCATGTCATGAGAAGCTAATCACAAAGAGAACATCAACACAGGTATTAAGTCATGAATATAATGTGACTATCATTTCACCAATGTGCACAATTAATTGCCATATTTGCTTTATAAGTATATCTATTGTGTCTATCAGCTGGCATGTTTATTAGTAGGCATGTCTATTAGTGGGTGTGTACATGTCTATAAGTAGGTGTGTCTATTAGTAGGCATGTCTATTAGTATGTGTGTCTACTAGTAGGCATGTATATTATTATTAGGTGTATCTATTAGTGGGTGTGTCTATTAGTAGGAATATACATGTGTATTAGTGGGTGTGTCTATTAGGAGGCATGTATATTATTAGTAGATGTGTATATTAGTGGGCATGTCTATCAGTAGTCATGTATATTAGTAGTCGTGTATATTAGTAGGCCTGTATGTTAGTAGGCGTGTCTGTTAGTAGGCGTGTCTGTTAGTAGGCGTGTCTGTTAGTAGGCATGTCTGTTAGTATGTGTGTCTATTAGTATGTGTGTCTATAAGTAGTCATGTATATTAGTAGGCGTGTATATTAGTAGGCCTGTATGTTAGTAGGCGTGTCTGTTAGTAGGCGTGTCTGTTAGTAGGTGTGTCTATTAGTAGGCATGTATATTATTAGTAGATGTGTATATTAGTGGGCATGTCTGTTAGTAGTCATGTCTGTTAGTAGGCGTGTCTGTTAGTAGGCGTGTCTATTAGTATGTGTGTCTATTAGTAGGCATGTATATTATTAGTAGATGTGTATATTAGTGGGCATGTCTGTTAGTAGTCATGTCTGTTAGTAGGCGTGTCTGTTAGTAGGTGTGTCTATTAGTATGTGTGTCTATTAGTAGTCATGTATATTATTAGTAGGTGTGTATATTAGTATGTGTGTCTATTAGTAGTCATGTATATTATTAGTAGGTGTGTATATTAGTAGGCGTGTCTGTTAGTAGGCATGTATATTATTAGTAGGTGTGTACATATGAAAATTTGTGCTTACAACTGGTTTTTAATCTGTGTCGAAAACGTGCACAGAATGGTCGTTTTGTGCATGTTTTTGGACACGGCTTATCAGCCACCTCAAGTGCCAAATCCATGAAATAAACAACCAATGTCAATAGTGTAGCCTAGGTGTTAAAATGGACTAAGTACTGGCAAACCAACTTTTGCATAGGTATGTTTCTAAACGCTTGCTTTTTGGCTGATTTAGTCATCTTTTTTGAACTCAGAAGCCCGCAAAACCTAATATTACATGTGAGAACGAAACAAATTCGTCGAGATTTCACGTTTTCCCATAAAAGGGATGCTGGCTGTTCCCTCTCTGGACTCCCTCCCCGTGTATACTAGTACTGGTACTACCATGGATTAGTACCTTCCTACCACTACCAACTCTAACCACGTTCTCATTTGGTGACGCATGTCAAGCTATAAATGGGCATCAATACTCATTTCGCCCAATATTTCGCTTTTATAACATTTTAATCAACAGCATATCGCTTAATTTCTGACCGGAAAAACGACCATGTTTTTATCCCTTTTTTTTCTCACTCGCTGATTAAAAACACTGACTGCTTGTTCAAACACTGAACACTGGCACATGAATTGTCGGAATGGTTGTTTTAGTGCTAAAGTTTGGAGATTCAATGAGTATTAACCATTACTTAATTTCGAACGACTTCCAAACCATCATACTTTGTTTTGTTCGTGAACGTAACTTGAACTATAACCTCTTGTCATGTGAACGTTTCACAACAAGCTGATAGAACGGGACTGTGTTCCGTTTGAATCCAGGACTGCTATCTCGTTTCAACAATATGATTATCGAGACAATTACGTGATACAGGCAATGTTAACTCCTTAGGGCAGAGACCATAGACACCAGGAACATATTGATGCCACGACCATGTATTTAAAATGAGAGCGTGCAGACGGGCGATATTTCTGGGTTCGCGCGCTCGAAAAATTAAGCGGAAATTATTCAACATGCGGTTGCAAAAGCGAGTAAAAATATTGAACGAAAAGCAGAAGCGAGCAGGAGGTTGGGTGAAATTAGTGCTGTACATTCAGGTCATTTGTAAAAATATGATCAACCAAGATCTATGTCATTCTGTAGCACGCCAGAAAGAGACAAAATGCGGTTTTAAATATTGTAGTCCATGAGCCAAGTGGCTAAAAATGGCGGATCATTACCACTCGGGGTGGCAAAGGCTATCATATATCAAATTGAAGCTTATTTTGTGTAGATTCCGAAAAAATATGATAGCAATTTTTTTTTGGTAGCTTAAAGCGGTCACGTGACCTTGACGTTAAACCACCATGCATATTCATACAATTCATTGAATTGCGTTTTTGGCTATTTTCCCAAAATGTAATCAGCTAACATAGCTACTGTTGTGACATGTTGGTACTTTGATGTATATTTTTGCAAGTAAATTTAACTTTCGAATTTTTCGAAAAAAATCATGTGACAATGACGTCAGCATGAAAATCCAAAAATTATAACGCTAGAAAATATATTAACATTTTCTGCTAAAATCAAATTGATTTTTTTAATTTCAGCACTGAAACATTTTGCAATGCATTTTACTACTGCATAAATATTTGAATGAACGTAAAAGTAATTGTTTTTCAGAATTTTTCTCTCAAATTAAAGTTTTTGCAGATCAGGCATCCCGTTTGGTGCATGCAAATAAGGTTTAAATTGAGTTGCTTGCCTTTGAATACATGTTTTAGATTTGTATGTAAATAAGCACTCGTTTAACGTTAGTTCCTTAAATATAAGATATTTTTCAATGGTTCAATCAGATTTGCTGATTTTGGACTTTTGTAACTTTGTGGTAGCTTTGATGTTTTTGCTAATCTGCCATCTTATTTTTAGCTTCAAGTACGTATGTAGTTAAGACTTGCGATGATATCACGTACAGCTATTGTGCTTCAATTTTGCCGCAACAAAAGAAAGTCATGATGAAGTTATCCAGAGTCGACACTTTCAGCATTTGTTTCATCTGTACACAGAGTACACACATCATCTCCGTAACAACAATGACTCCCTTTCAGCACTATGGATTTCATACATAGACATGATTGAACTAATGCTTGACATGATTTGTGCCTCAAGAGAAGAAGACTGGATGCTTCACCTGGTGTTTTGCATATGATGCAGTTAACTACGCTAGATACATGTCCGACGAACACACTGAAATATATGAGTTTATGAAATCTGGTGAAC